CCATGGCTATAATAAAGAAAATTTTAGCAACAGAAACTTGATAAAGAGTTTGAAAATATTCGTTTCAATGATAGAATTATATGTGCTAAGTTCAGGCTCTAATGCAATCAAATGAAGACTTGTCTGTGAGGAAAATATTAAGGGGGAGGAAAAACACCAATGGCCTCAGGAAGAATCAGTTTATGGAATATCTTCAACAATAAATTAGTACCGAAACTCCCACAAGACTGTATGAGGTTCTGCAATCATTTTCTTTAAGAGAACCTTTATAAAAGTATTTACAATTAATATTTACCAGACCTAATGTTAAGAAGTAGAGTCATTTGTTAAGATCATCACACGTTTCTTGTTCTTGATGTTTCTTGTTCTTGAAAGCTCTGATTCCGTGATGTCCTGCACAGAATTAATCCAAATGTCCCATCAAAATCTAAAGGATTTAAGTGCTGCTCTTGCTGATACAAAAAGGGCCCTTCTCTGTCATGGAAATGGAAGATAAAAGAATTTGAATTTTTCTTAGAAGGTTTTTAAACCATGCAATTCTGTCTGGATCATATTCAGAGAACACTTATATCCCTTAATTTTGTATTGTAAACGTCTTCTCCCCATATACTCCCATTTAGTATTATTCTTTCGAAATAAAGAAGTTTAATAGGCAAAAAAGATTCTACTTTCACAGTAGATGTAGACTCCATTAATATAACTTTGTTCATTTGGTGGGGGGGCAAATCTGTTTAACTTCTACATCAACAAATAAAAAAAAAAAATGTGAATTACAACAGAATTTAGAGGGGAAAAATAAAAATAAAAAAACATATTCAGGATTTCTTGATTACCAAAACTCAGCCACATCTTGTTTCCAAAGAGGGGGTCCTTCTGAAACTTGAAAACTTCTTAGCAGTGAGTGACTAATTGTTACAGGAGACCATCAAGACTAATGGGGAAGCTGCATGTGGTCACTATGGATACCATACTGACCTTTATTATTTTTTGAAAATAAGTACTTAAAAAGTCAGTGGTCATTTGCAACTAAGGCCTCCTCAGGCTGTTCCAAAAATGAAAATTCCTATTTTAAACTGGAATGAAATGGGTTATTTCATGCAGAGGTGAGCACCTGGTATTTGGCTAATTCAGTTGCTGAGCATTAAGTTGCAGTGAACCATTTACTACAGTGCCCTCCTTTAACATTTACTTCTTGAGGAATGATGAAGGTCACCACAATGTCACCTACCTGAATGGAACAAGCTCTCCTCAGACCCCTTTTGCTTTTACACACAGATCACCACCAAACAGCCAAYGTGCAGGGAAGTCTCTCCTGACTTCTAAAACTCAATCTCAACTACCAATATTTACACAGCATATTATAAAGCAATCATAGTCCTAATAAGAGGTTTTACAAAAGGTAGGTATAGTTTTTGTGCAGTGGCATTCTTGAAGGTTACAACTTCTATAAAAACTTAATGAAAATARTCAAGCCGAGTATTAGATGTCTTCTTCAACTGTTCTCCTGAACACACAGCTTAAGTCTGTTTTAAAATAAGTACATAGCATATTGCAGTTTTCAATAAAGGTCTTACTATTTTGGTAATGCTCATTTGGCAGAACACTAAATAAATAGGGATTATTCCAACACCATCACAAACACAAGAACACTCTGTTAACAGAGTTTGTTAGGAACAGCAATAATGGTAGTTATGGTAATTATTAGAAGTGTGAAATCCTCTAACTCCACAACAAGGCAAAAAAAACAGATGAGTTTTACCACATCTTTCAAGACAGCATATAGAACACTACAAATCTGTAGGGCATTAAGTCCTATTGATACAGAAAATATACTCATTTGCCATGTTCCAATAAGCAAGTGATCCAACACTGTTTAGGAACTGTTCTTTAGCTGCCATTACTTTGAAAGAACTAAAATAAAAACAGGGTAACAATACGATATATATTGTTCTTTGACAATTCCCAAACTACAGCCATGAAGACCAAAACAGAAGAGTGTTCTACAAATTTTGGAACTGTAAACCAGAATTTTACCATACACTGAACTCTGATTTTGCATTATCATTTTAAGCAAAGAGAGTTCAGCAAGAGAAGGAAAGAAAGAAATGGAAGAGCTACAGAAAGATTCTTCATTCTCTTCTCTGCACTTTTCAAGCACAAAGATCTTCATTTCATCACCAGCATGACAGATGTAATTAGCTGTGGAAGAAGTCTATGTGTGTGTGTCACAAGCTCTGTTCTGCAGTCTAGGTTTTGTCAATTAAAGCAGTTTAACAGATGCTTGATGCAAGCAGAAGAATCAAGTGACCAGTGGTGTTGCTAAAACAGAGGAAGACAGATGTTCATTATTGCTCCAATTACTATGTTATACTTAGTGGCCAGACCAGAACTGAGAACCAAATATTGAATTATGAGAATAATAAAAAAAATACAATGACATTCTTAATTTMTTCCTCTCCACTCTGAYCCCATAACCAGTTAAGAAGTGGTAYGCAGCACTAGAAATTGATGCTGCCTGATTAACTTCAGTGAAGGTGTGGTAAAAGTACATACATACTTTTGAAAACGCATCTCCTGTGCATTTTCAGGAAAATGCAGTACTATTTCTTATGACCACTTACACCACACTAGCACAATTTTTATTTTTTTGTACAAGAGGTGGAAAAAAATAGAAAAAAGAGAAGAGAGAGAGAAAAAAGAGAAGAGAGAGAGAAAAAAGAGAAGAGAGAGAGAAAAAAGAGAAGAGAGAAAAAGAAAAAGAAAAAAGAAAAAAGAAAAAAGAAAAAAAAGAAAAAAGAAAAAAAAGAAAAAAGAAAAAAAAGAAAAAAAAGAAAAAAGAAAAAAGAAAAAAAAGAAAAAAGAAAAAAGAAAAAAAAGAAAAAGAAGAAAAAGAAGAAAGACTGAAACTAATATTACTGACTGTAAAGAAAAAGAAACAAAACAAGAGCCTGAACTCAGAAGCATACAGGAAAGTATGAATCTTAGGATGTCAATATACTGGACATAGAATTTAGGGACGGTTCAGTGAAGGCAGAAACAACAACAGTATGTAAAAATAGCTTTAGAAAAAGAACAYATATAGCTAAGAATTTGTTGTAAAATAGTATTCTCATCTGACAAAARGAGAGCTAAAGATGAGCTACAGAAAACGGGAATAGCTGTGTGAGCAAAAAGAAATTTCAGCTCCTGGTTCAAAAGGGTCTCCACCCAAGTGCCCTGCACCTCAGCTTCCTCAAGATTAGAATAAACCTGAAGTCTCCTGTGACTAAAAACAGATGAAGAAACAAAGCAAACAAACAAGTCTTGAATCACTCCTTCACTCACCTGGTTTCAAAGGATCAATAGGAAAAAGTRAATCAACCGCTAATTGTAGCACAGTAAATTCTTCCACTATAAGAAGCTGAACCACAGACACATATGCAGCACCCAGGACTGGAAATTGGCTTCATCCATTGTATTCTCGTCTTACAGTCAATCCAAAAATACACAAAAGAGTAGCAAATGCACAGAATTTTCATTTCATCCTCTATAGCCTAGAAAAATTCAAATGTGCATTCACCTTTAATTCACTTGATCTCAATTACAAGAGGAGGATACTGAATCTATAGAAAGCTAGAAGCAGGCAGAGAGAATGAGAGAGGGCATGTGAGGGGARGAAAGAGCCTTTAATTTTTGATTAAATAAGCACTTTGGAGGCAAGGGACTGTATGTACAAAACGTATATACAACCAAGATTCAAATCTGCAGAGTTTACACYGACAAAGTTTTCCTACAGAACAGGAAAATCGCGTTGGTATTTTGACTTTTTGCCTCTCTACTTTTCTAATACACTTTCCTCCTAAAGTTTTAGTGCTGCAAATTTTAAGTAAACAACAGCAACAAAAGAAAAGTTACTTAGGTTCTTGTCCAGTCAAATTCTGAGCATCTCTAAGAGCAGAGATTTCACAACTTTTCTGGACAACCTAACCCAGAATCTGACCATCCCCACTGGGAAGAACTTTCTCCTCACATCCAACAGGAATTGCCCTTGTAGCCAATTGTGCCTGTTCACTCTTGACTTTCTCCAGTGAGTCGGCAAGAACCAGTTGCCTTTGTTTTTTCCACACAACCTAACAGGTAACTGAAGACAACAACTAGACACTATTCCTCTCCCCTATCTTTAGTCTTCTCTACCCAGTCTGAAGCTGAGCATATACTTATTTATGGAATACCATTTTGACTCTGTTAGGTAGTCTAGCACATCCTAGAAGTTATCCAGCCAAATTAAGCCTTTACTTCAATTAACCTGGGAGATTCTACAGTACTCGGTGATCAAAACAGTTATATGAGGGGGCAGCAAATGGCTGATCAAGAACATTTTGCTTTCAAAATGAACAAAAATGTCTTTCAGTCACACAAAGAACTTAAAATGATTTACCCTCAAAAATGCSAACTGGCAGGTTAAGCTGCAGTTCAGCACAGGTAAAGGAAGAAAATATATTAATGTATTATTTTTCTCCTTCCCTACTGCACAGGACACAAACCCTCACTTGTGTGAGTACATTTGCTGGTTTGGACAGCCCCAGGTTATGGCACTCATAAACCATCACACACTGTGGGTTTTGCTTCTCTCCATCCTCCCCGCCGCCTTGAACTTATCTAATAGGACACCTACCTCACACTATACCAATCATAACAGAAAGGTGAAATTTCARAGATCCATTAGTCATCAGAACTTGTAAGACCATATTTTACATGATCATATTTTACATGACCATATTTTACATGACCATTTACATAAACCCAAAGAAAGGATTTATCAAGACACTTTGATTATCTAACTACGTTTAAAAACAATCAGTCCATTTACAATGAAAGAAAGGTGCCTCATTCCATAGTAAAGAGCTACAATGAAGGTTATGGTTTAACCTTAGATTTCTGAAGAAACTTAAGTGAGAACCACTAAAACAAGTCACTTCAAATGTAATACAGCTACCTCTCTATGTGACATATCCGTTCCATCCTGAAGAGTAGTTCATTTCTCAATTGGTATCCTCAGTCTGCCTCTTCCTCTTTGAAGACAACCAACATTTCTGGTCCAGAAAAAACAAAAACAAACAAAAAAAAACCAGATAGGTAGAAATAAGCTGTTTTAGAGTTATCTTTGGGTGACCATCAACATCTTGTGTTCAGTCTGGAAATTAAAAAGAAGGTTCTCACTACTAAATATACAACAGGTCATCTGATCATCTCTTGAGAGCATAGAAGCAGAGTAAAATATAACCCTAAAACACAAGCTATGAACATCAGATAAACATGTAGCATTCAGTGTTACAAAGCATCGCCCTTGTGCAAGAGTTCTTAAAAATGTTAAATATTTGTTCTGCAACAATACCCAAGAGGTCAATTCTTTTAATATGACACGTACAGTCTCCTCTCCCAAAGGAAACAGTCCACACAAGAAGAGCATGAATTCATGACACCTATTTGAGCACCAACCAATTCACAYACAAAATGCACACAAACAAAAAAACAAGCAAACAAAGAAAAATACCCCACAAACTTTCAACCATTCACAGAACTATTAGCTTTATTTGCTAAAATCTGCATTTTTTAACAAGTCTTTTCCAGGAAGTGAGTTTTCATTTTACTGAGAGCATTTGGAAAGAAACATAATATGCTGGCAAGTAGAGTTTGCTTTCAAAACACTTCTCAATATTTTCAAATCAATCTTACATAAGATCTGACAAACATACTTAAAATTATTACTTTCAGTCTCTCTCACTTAAACATTTAAAGTCAAGGCACCACCTCCTAAATAATTTCAGCTATAAAAGGAAATTTAAAAAAGACTTCTGACATATTAGCAGCCTACTTGATGCTTTTCAGTCATATTTGCCTATTTGGAACAAAATAACATTTACCATTTAGCTAGTGGACTACAGTAGGAAGGAATACCAATCACAGCTTTATTTGGAAAAGATAGATTTGAGCTTTTAATTGACAAAAAAATATAGATTCCCAAAATAATAAAAAGGCACTTAAAAAAAAAAGTCTACCAGCTACCTAAAATATTACTCTTTTTTTAAATCACATTGTTCACAGAATTACCAAGGTCACCTAGAAGAAGGTCAAGTAGAAGCTCAACTAATAAAAGGGAAGGTGAGCTGGGAGCTAGTTGGGTTGCTGGCTCTCAGAGCTACAGGGACAGGATTTATTTTCAACTGCCAGCTGGTAAAYAGGGGGAGCCCAGGACCTGCAATGGGATCCAAATCTAGTCAGCACCCAAGATGACAATCTAGAGCACATGCTCAGCAAACTCCCAAAATACAATGATACACTGGAAGGAGGAGGAAAGTAGAGGGAGGATGACACAGGGAATGGTGGTGAGAGAATATCACCACCCCAGGTCACAGCATGGCCACATTCGCCATGGGCCGAGAGGTGAGAACATGGGCAGAGCTGAAGGCCCATGAGCCTCTTCACCCGCAAAGCGAAGGCGAGCAACCACGCCAGAGCTCTCTGCATCGACCAGGAGGGGAATGCAGATTTGCATGACCATAAGACCAGCACCAAACACCTTCTCCATGGGGGCGGAAAGAGGAAGTGAGAAGGAGCAACAGCCACAAAATACAGCCTGGAAGGCTCAGGTTGAGTGCRATGAAGAATATCTTCACTAGAGAAGTGGTGGGGCTCAGGAACAGGCTTCCCTTCCCACAGGGTAGCTGTGGGTTCTCTTTCGTTTTGGCTTTTCACACCTCAGCAGTGTGCTCTCATAGCCAAGAAGGCCAATGGCATCCTGGCCTGCATCAGGAGGAATGCTGGAAGCAGGTAGAGGGAGATGATCCTGCCCCTCTGCTCAGCTCTGGTGAGATCACACTTGGAGTACTTAYACATCCCAGTATAAGAGGGACGTGGAGCTTCTGGAGAGGGTCCAGCAGAAGGCAACAAAGGTGATTAAGGGACTGAAGCATCTCTCATATGAGCAGACACTGAGTGAGTTGGGCCTGTTTAGCCTGGAGAAGATAAGGTTGAGAGGAGATCTGATCAATATGCATAAGTACCTGAACAGTGAAAGTAGGGAGGAAGGGACTAAACTCTTCTCAGTGGTGGTCAGTAACAGAATAAGGAGTAATGAGTATAAATTAAATATAGGAAGTTCCATCTGCATGTGAGGAAGAACTTTTTTCCCCGTGAGGGTGACAGAGCAGTGGAACAGGCTGCCCAGGGAGCTTGTGGAGTCTCCTTCTCTGGAGGTCTTCAAAACCTGCYCGGATACCACCCTGTGCCCTGTGCTCTGGGTGTCCCTGCTGGAGCAGGAAGGTTGGACTAGATGATCCCTAGAGGTCCCTTTCAACCTTAACTATTCTGCGATTCTGTGATTTTCAAGACTTGGAAGGACAAATCTACAGCTGAGCCACCAAATGCGAAATATAGCCCRGCTTTGAACAAGGATCAGCCACCTCCAGAGGACCCTTCCGACCAGCATTCTTGCAGTTGTATGACCTAACCACTGCAATCTGCTCCAAGCAACCATGACCTTGTTTAAACAATCCCCCTCAGACACGATGCTGAACTGAATCATCTTTGGAAAAAAGAATTATACATGGATGACATCAGCACAGCTTTTCCTATAAATAGCCAAGTGTTACCATCAATCTGGGCTACATTTTAAGCATCTCAAATAGTCACAGTACATCATATGCCTAGAAGTTTTGTAGCTGAAAACATTTAATAGCAAGACTATTTTCACCTACAAGTTCCAACCACATTAGAAAATAAACTAACGGGTAAATACATATTGCACAGCTAAGCCTGCAGAATCAAGTAAGCTGCCAAACCCTATCCCAAGGCCACCTTTGATTAAGTTTTCAAGTCTTTTTCAAAGTAAACATCAAATTCATTCTTGCTGTTATTAGTGTTATCAGGTAGGTTTTTTTTGTGGGTTCCCCTCCCCGAGTTTTAGAAGTATAGAAATTAAATGAAGAATTAAATATAACATTGTACAAGCTACCAAACCATCCATGTGTTACCACACAGGTGCAAAGCTTTGCTGACAACCAGAATTATATCATTTACAATAAACAAGTAGTTTGGCCTTAGGAGTAGGAAAACTGGTTCCTACTACTTATTCACGGGACTACAAACATTAAGCAACAACTCAATCAGATAGAGAAAAACAACCTGGTGAAGGAGGTACCCAGGGTCCCATTCTTTGGATGCATTTGGTCCAGTAAGCTTTGAGTTACCTTATACTGTCACTGCATTTCAAAATAGGGATGTAGGGCACTCAGTCTAATCRATAGGCTAGTGGCCAAGAACTCTCATAGAAATACAAGTTGCCGCAATGGCAGAAACCGATCCCCGCCTTCCAGTTCTGAGGCAAACATGAAATGGTAGAGAGTTATTATGGGAGARGGAAAGCCAACAGCTTTCCTTACAGTTTCAAATATCATTAGCAACCTCATTTTAGGAAAGGCTCTGCCTTGTGCAATCAATGTATATTCAGAACCTTCTAAAACAGACTGCACACTGGGACTCTGTGCAAAGCTTAAAATAAATAGGACAAATTCCTGGATCCCAAGTCAGTATCAACAAGGTATCAGTGCTGGGCTTCTCAGTTCCACACACGCACAGAAGCTTCTAAGATGCTCAGGCACAAGTTGAACTGGTTTCTTTAGAGGACTGACTTCAGTTACGGAAGACAGAGAATCCARTGATTCTTCCTGAACCTTCCTACTCTTTACCTTGCACTGACGCCAGTGTTCGTCACACCTTCTGGTGAGCTAAGCAATATACTCCCCTAAAAAGCTGTAACCATATCACTGGGTGTKCCAGTGCAAAGGCAGTAGAGCTACAAAACAACTGGTGCTAGAAATACAATATGTAAACTACACATAATCCAGAAAGTCTTAATCCAGACTTTGTCCTGTCTATGATCTAAATATCTTTCGTCTGAATACATGAGACAAAGGTACACATCACTCAAGTTTTCATCTAGGAGGAATTCACTTCATATACACCACAAGACAAACTGCAGAACAGTAACTGAAGACCCTCAGAATATCTGAATCAACATTGCATACCTGATCCATATTAAAACATGGATGTAGTTTGTTAAGTGACCTTTCAATTGTTGGGCAAGTTGAATCAGTTTAGTGAGGTGTCTAATGTGTTTTAGAAGTAATGGAAATGGGAGGAGAAAGAGAACGATTTAGAGTAGGAACTCCTTTCTTTCATTATACCWGCAATATACATAGAAATAATACCACAGTACTGGAAAAAAATAAGGTAAGCAGTAAATAATGTAATTGCACAGCCCATGGAGATAGGTATTCTGGAGATGATAATGCAAGCCTACTCCACAGACAATCCTGAAGCAGATGAAGTCTTAAGACTTTAAGTCACAGAACTTGAACACCTAAAACGTATCCACCTGCAAAATATACAGCTATGCATGAATACAAAAGTTGCACCTTGGTTACACCTCTAATAGAAACTGACTGTGTAATAAGAACATTACTTAGTGTAACTTAACTCTTGCACAATGACCATCCTAAAAATATAAGAATACTAAAAGAATACTCACAAACATATGTACTACAGAAATCACCAGTGCAACTTCAGGATGGTAGCCAGGAAGTAAATCTGAATTTCTCTCCCTTTCCTTGTACTTGAGATTTTACAGCTTCATGATGCAAGTTGTTTACATCAATCAATGTACGTAGCTGCCAACTACTCCTGGGGGGGGGAAAAGAAAAGAAAAGGGGGGAAAAAAAAGAGATTTGTTTTCTGCTAAAACAGAAAATTAAATACTGGATCAGGACAATTTTTAGCATTAACAGTAACAAGGAAATGTACAAAGCAGGACTGTCCATTTTGGTGGCAATATAGTGTTTGATTAATATAGACAAACTGTAAAACTATAGCACAAATCTCTCCACTCCCTTGAGAAAGGAAAGATAAAGACTGAAGACCTCTTTTACTAATATTTTGAGTGGAAGGCTAGTGATACAAGCATATCATAYGTCTTAGCCACACAATAAATTACCAGAATAAAAAGAAACAAAATACAGGGAATGTGGTTACTTTAACCACTTTAACCACCATCCCACCCACAAGTTTGGCAAAATCATGTTATTTTATTAAAGGCAATTTTAAAACTACTTAGATGCAAAAACTGGAGTCATTCCAGCTGCAACCCAAAACTGACATTTAAAAGAACCAATAGAGACACACTAAGGTGCCTCTCTCTCCCTGTAAGGGAGCCTACCCCAATGACAAGTCCCTGAAAACCACCTTTCAATATTTGTTCGTTCCTCTGGAAATGCCTCCACAGAACTCGGCCAAACACTGCGAGCAGGCTCCAGCTCCATGGAAATCAGCTGAGCAGGACTTAGACAGCAAGTGCTTTTTGAAAATGCTAAAGGGGTGATTTTCTGYCAAACACCTTGGGGTTGAAAAGCTGTCTTACGCTACCAATGCTCCACCTGCTGGTACGCAGACAGTGCAGATGAGTCAGGAAAGCATTTTTACCTTAGAGAGAGATTAAATATATATATATATATATAATAAATATCCTTCCATTAAGGGGAAGCCTGCATAGTTCAGGCTAAATGATGTTCACAGAAAAAGGTTTGAAGAGTAAGAATGATGGAGTAAATAAGACTTATTTCATCTGTTGAAAAATCTGAAAGGTAAATTCAGCTTTTAACAGAAAATGTGTTAATCATCTGTTTCAAGAACTTTTAAATGCCAAAGAAACCAGTATCAATAACTAAAGTAAATTTTTTCAAGGTGTTTGGAGATAGACTSAGCTTGTGAATCAGCTACTTCCCCCAAGCTTTTTTACAGCATGTTCATGTGCAAGTGCAGGACAAGTTACTGAGAGCACTTCTTACAGATACCTGCTACTTTTATTCTTCATCTGAGTGTTTAACTCCAACTTCCCAGCTGCTTTTGCAAGAGGACTGCACTTCAAACAGAAGTCAGTGGAAATCATATTAGTTAAACAGAAATGTAATCATAATAGTTTAAGAAAAGGACACCTATGAAGTCATTAATTTTCCAAGATCACTCCAGATGGAGTTTGTGATCTTCCAATAAGAAAAATAATAATAAAAAAATGTAACTGATATACTTAATGCTCATTATTTTGGTATCAGTTACTGAGCAGAGAAGGGAAATTTTGCAAATACAGACCTCCAGTCAATGTAAAGAAGTCAAGTCAAGCACACAGACAAGCTGCCTGTCTTTCCACAAACTCACCAGAAATTAACTCCCTTAGCGTCCATTTAAATGTAAGGAAAAGGTCACACAAAGAAAGGAAAGTGAAAAGAAAAAAAAAAGTTGGAAAATGAAATTAAATTACTGCTGCTCCATCACTGTTATTGTAAAGAGAAGTTTTACTCATCTTCAAGTCAGCATAATAACACCCACTGTACAAACTGGGACTATAACACTAATGAATTCATGATCACAGCAATATAGCAAGAGTGAGTGATGAGCTGGCAATATTTGCCATGAAAGAAGCTTACCACTTAAAAAAAACCCCTCACATTTAGTCTTTTAAATTGCAACTTATTAATTTGAGTGCTTTTTAAAAATAGAGCAAATTATATCCTCCAACTTAAAAAAAAAGTTTAAAAGACAGAAAATATCACAGTATTACCAATAACCGATATAACACAGTGCTTCAGTTTGTAATGATCTGAAACTCCTATCTCTGCAAAGTGCAAGATAGTTGAATTCCTTTTCCACACAGAAGCTAAAAGGTAAAGGCTGAAGCAGACAAACACAGAGTTCAAATTAAAAGGATGTTATAAACATAAAGGTGAATATGATTTTTATTTCTAAGTAGTTGCCTTACAAGAGCATTACTCTTTTTGCATAAAAAAAGGCTATATAAACAGACACACATCTTGTTATGGATTAATGATTAACAGGCTTCAAAACCTACAGCAAAGATCCAGTTTTATATGGATGTCTAGTGCATTAAGTGAAACGTAAAAGACAATTATGTAAACAAATATCTAATTTTTAATATAGAGATAAGCACAAATTAAAGTCAGATATCATTAAGTACAGCGATAAGAAACTTTGCACTGAAATTAGTCGTGTGTAAAATCCAGCAACAAATGGCCAGAAGTTTTCCTGATAAAATATGCAACTTCATGTTAACACACAAAATTCCAACCTCATTTAGTCAGAAGCAAGGAATGTTTAAGTACCTGTTTTCATCTCTCTCTCCTGAGATTTACTTCTGCTAGTTAATATTTGGCATAAACTGCCTTTTAACTGAACAACCAGCTTTGTGGTTCCCAAGCCAAGCAGTATGGTTATCAAGACAAGTCAATTAGTCACCACATCCAAAATGAGAAAAAAACAGGATCACTGTAACATTTTGATTAAGCTTTTGAACTCAATGCATTGGTACAGGTTGGAACTATATGAGAAAGACAGGATCAGATAACTATGCACATAGTTTGTATCCTCAGATACTATTACATTTGTTCTGCAATTAGTCATGTTAMAAAAGTATTGGATTTGGCAAGCTATTTTAGACATTACAGACATAAGTTAAAAAATAGGAGAGGGAAGCGTTGGAAAAGACAGATGCATGTTTTAAAATTTACTTAAAACTATATCTGTAAGTATAAGTAAACTTGTAAATTATCACAGGTTTCCTAGTTAAAGGGATCTCTTTTCCTCACTCCTGATTTAGGTTTTGAACAAGGCTAGCTCTGTGGAAGGCTTGAAGTCCTCTTGATACATTCAGAATGCGTCAGCAAAAGAACGAAGTAGCTTCCCTCATACCAGAACATTCCCAGTGTTCCAGTGACCTGAATCCACCTGAAAGTGCCTGACTCTGCCAGCAAACAGCTTAGTTTTCCCACGGTGGAGGGCTATGTTAAAATCAAAGCGCCCTTGACCTAGAGAGGAACTGGAGAGTTAGGTTCGCAGAACATCCTGAAGAACATTCCTGAAGTCATATGTACTTGTCYCATCTGGTTAACACTTGAACCTGCCTGAATAGCTAGTATTAAAACTGAGCTAGTTCCGAGTTTTCTTGTCTTAACCTAATTTAACTGAAAAAAGTATTTAGTTATCCTTTTGGAAACAAATGCCATATTGAGGTAAGAAGCCTTACTGCTTCAATTGCCTTAGAAATAAAATAAATAGAATMCCAACATAAATAGACTAAGAGCAAGGATGAGAAAGAATATTTGTAAATGCAGTCACTGCACAGTTGGATATTTTAGTAACAAGGCTTATCACCAGTAGCGACATTGTATCATACACGGTCTCTATAAAGAGCTAAAAATATGTTGGGAAAACAAGAGGTTAACAAAACACATCACATGAATCATGTGATTATATAGTAAAAATATTGATGCATATCAAATATGGAACAGTCAGTCAGCAGACTGTATAGGAATAAGTAATAATAATAATAATAATAATAATAATAAAAAAACCCACCACACACACTCCCACAACTCTGCCAGTAGCTCTGAGCAATCTGTACCCTGGAATAAAGGGTAGAGGCTTTAGGCTCACACGCTAAGGAGCATTTTCTGCCAAGCTGCAAAAGGTCAGCAGGGCATCTTCTGTTGCCAAGCATCAGCTTTAGGGAAGAGCAGCTTCCAGAAGGTACAAACTTGAGCCTTTTCTGTAATGTTATCAACAGTACATGACATTCCTCACAGCTTTCCCCAAACTGGGGACTCTCACCATGACTTTTGCACAGAAAAATATTTAGCTAGCGCATTAAACAATCTGAACGATGAGCTGAGTAGTTGTAGCACCCAGGGAAGGCCCAGTCTTCAGGAACACTTTAAAAATCAGAACAATAACGATCCTGCATTTGATTGAACTTTGCTGTATCTGCAAAGAGAACAATGAAGTGAATGGGCAAAGAAAGTCCTCAGAGGGTCATCTGGCATTTTGATTTATTATACTAACGTTAAGCCTCCCATGTTCAATTTTCCACATCATTCTTAGCCAGTAAAAAATCATTTCAGGCTTATTTTACTTCTATATTCTGTATATAAAAAAAATGCCAAAGTAAGGTCTTACAGCTTGCACAACTGCTTTAGTTTCTAACACTATGTTAATTCAGTGTGAAACATAAGATTTAAACACTCCTTTAGTGTTTTAGCTTCCTCATTCCCACAGGATTTTATATGCCCCAAGACATGAAACAATTTTATCTAGGGCATTTCTTATGAAATCTTTAATCTTTTTTCCTTTATCTTTCTAACCTTCACTTCTGCAGAAATATAGACCTAGTTCCCTCAACCTTCTCATGCAGTTAAAAATCATTACTGCTATCATCCTGACAGAGGCATATTAAGAAATACAAAAAGCAGACTCATACTAACACTTAGTTTTCAAGCATAGAAAAAATATCTATGTCAAATTTTAAGCTGCCAGGTGGCTTGCACTTCTTATCATTAAGTGCATGCTCAGACAAAGCTACCCCACTTTAGGGGTAGCAGGGTATTCTCTAATTTCATGCTGCTGTGGAATCAGCTCCCTCCCCCGCCCCCCCCCCCCAAAATAGCTCAGTCTTTCCTTTTGCTATTTTATTTACAAAAAATCAAAAATCATCCATCATGTTGATCGATCAAATCCCAAATCCCAATACAATCTTCTCCATCTACAGGCCTTGGGCCTTTACTATTAATTAGTGGA